GCGGAAGGAGAGGAAGAGTGAGTGAGTGACCCCCGGGGCATCAGGAATACAGCCCCTCCACAGTTCAGTGCTGCTTCCAGCACTGTTGCACGTCCCTTACAAACGTACAAACTCATGCAGATTAATAAGTTACCAGACGCTTTCCAAACAGTTTCACCTGTGTTTTCCCTCCAAACAGACAGAAGTACTTATTCTTGGGATTGGGCTCGCTAATCATCAGTTTTGGGACAGACTGCAGGTCTGGGGGGTTGGAAACAGTTGGATTAAATGGCAGATTAGTGTTTAAATAGCTGTGAACAAGGAACATCTGTGGTATCGTGGGAGATTAGTGCTTCGGAGTCCGAAGTCTGTAGGAAGTGTTTGGTCTGTGTTGGGGGAGGAGCTTATGTAGACCTCCGAGAGGTTGGGCTCCTGCTTTCAAATAATAGCAGGGTGAACTCCTGCAGTACTGTGCAGGACCTTTGTGAAAGAGATTTCACCAGGGTACAGCATAGTACACAAGGGGATTTCACCAGGGCAAAGCATAGTGCGCAAGGGGATTTCACCAGGGTAAAGCATAGTCCGCAAGGGGATTTCACAAGGGTAAAGCATAGTGCGCGAGGGGATTTCACAAGGGTAAAGCATAGTGCGCGAGGGGATTTCACAAGGGTAAAGCATAGTGCGCGAGGGGATTTCACCAGGGTAAAGCATAGTGCGTGAGGGGATTTCACCAGGGTAAAGCATAGTGCGCGAGGGGATTTCACCAGGGTGAAGCATAGTGCGCGAGGGGATTTCACCAGGGTGAAGCATAGTGCGCGAGGGGATTTCACCAGGGTAAAGCATAGTACGCGAGGGGATTTCATTGGTGTAAAGCATAGTGCGCGAGGGGATTTCATTGGTGTAAAGCATAGTGCGCGAGGGGATTTCATTGGTGTAAAGCATAGTACGCGAGGGGATTTCACCAGGGTAAAGCATAGTACGCGAGGGGATTTCACCAGGGTAAAGCATAGTGCGCGAGGGGATTTCACCAGGGTAAAGCATAGTGCGCGAGGGGATTTCACCAGGGTAAAGCATAGTGCGCGAGGGGATTTCACCAGGGTACAGCATAGCAACACAGGGATTTCATTGGTGTAAAGGATAGTGCGCGAGGGGATTTCATTGGTGTAAAGGATAGTACACATTGGGATTTTACGTGGTTAAAGCATAATGCACATGTATTTCACTGGGGTAAAGCATAGTACACAGTGATGATACCAGGCTTTTGAGTGGTTAATGCAGAAAACATTGCTGTTCAAAATACCTTGTATATAGTAAGGCAGACCCAGTCTGGATGTATGGGTGAGTGAATGGGTAGATGGATGGTTAGATGAATGAGTCTCCTCTCCCTTGGTGTGTCGCTGCTGAACACGGCGGCACACTGGCTGCGTTGTCTCTCTCAGACGGGCGCTATGTCCTGCACGTGCCGTTTCCATGGTGATGTCATGGAACGGTGTCACCACTCAGTCTGCACCACGTCAGCCTTTGTACACCGGTGCTGACGTGGCGCTGTCACCGCGCTGGTGTGTCACCTACCGCCACCGTGTCTGCAGTAAGGAATCGGGAATCACTGCGGCTTTTATCCCGAAGTTGTATATCAGTCCGTGGGGTTCTTCTGTCCTCCATGTGTGTTCCGGTAACAGGGAGGGGTCGTAGATAATCATGTGCAGCTGACCGTGTTAAGGCATATGGCTGAGGGTGACTGTTTTCTCATAATAAAGGAAAATGGAAAATATTTTAATTACCTTCCGACATGCTGGTATCGGGGCATGACTGGCCTGGGGGGTTGCAGGCAGCTAGCCCCCCTCTTCCCTGCTGGGTTCTGGCTTTTTCCGCTTGCTCAGTGCACTGTGTGTTTGTACTCGTGACATCCTCCACCTCCGGCAGCTGTGTGAGGAAGGCTTAGGGCTGTACTGAGTAACTGTATTATTAGTATTACGTTGCTAATAGTAGTAATATTACTCATTTGAAGGAGCTCCAGCAGGTCAGAGTCAGGCTTCCTGTGTGTGTGTGTGTGTGTGTGTGTGTGTGTGTGTGTGTGTGTGTGTGTGTGTGTGTGTGTGTGTGTGTGTTTGTAACCGTGCGCCTCTTTAACCAAGCCGGTCACCCCTAAATGAGAGCCGTCAGGTGTCCCGCTGTGCTAACGGCTGCCGTGTCGGTCGAGCTGCAGAATGCTGACTCTGGTGCGCCCCATCGTGTGGGCGAAGCTTCGGAAACTGTGACGGGCTCGTCCTCTCCCCCCTCGCCGGGTGCCTACCTCCTGCCCCCTCCCCGGCAGTGCAGGCGTGACACTGGCCTTGTGCCGCATCCTTTTGTTATCGTCCACAAAGCGGCCTTTATCCCCCTGCTGTCGGCTCCTTCCCGTCCGGCGCCTGCTCTGCCGTTCGGACCGTTAACTGGGCCTCTCCCGGACCCGCGGTGGTGACCCAGGAAGACAGAGCGCGCGCTTGTGATGGGCTGGAAGCGCTTGGGGGCGGGGCTTCCCGGGGCGCGCTGCCAGCGGCTGCCGTTCCTGCTCCGGCTTGGGGCTCCACCGGGGAGACAGACGCTGCCTCTGTTCACCTGGCATTTTGCACTGATCTCAGTGGTGCCCCTCCTGGGGGGGTTGGGGGGGGCACAGCGAGAGCTCTGTCTGCCTTGGGAAGCAGGGGGACCACACACACACACACACACACACACACACGGCCCTAGGGCAGCCGTTAACCCTAGGAGGTCAGGAATAACAAGGGTTTTCATATCTGTAGTTTAAATTGACACCGACCCCGGGCTGCACTGCAAAGGCACGTGATAATCAGGCTGTGTTAAGCCTGGTTCACCACTGGATTTGACTGGATAAACAGAAAATGTGACCAACTGCTGAGCAGGCAGAGTGGAAGGTGGCTCTTTCTCCCAGAATGTGAGCTGCACCTCCGCGCCGTACGGCACACGCTGGGTGTGGAGGGCTCAGCGACCCGCTGCCATTGTGTTTCTGAGGTCACCAGAGGGTGCGCCACACCTGCCATGGGTATTCAGAGCAGCTCTAGCTAACGGGGTGGGTGGGGGGGGGTCACTCGCGTTTCATAATATCACATGGGTGTTAAGTGAGACATGATTGGATGATGGCTTCCCTCTGTCCCCCCCCCCACTGCCAGGATCCGACCTCAGCTGCCCCGGGAGAAGATCGAGGGATGCCACATCTGCACGTTCGTGACGCCGGGCGAGCCCCAGGTCATCCTGGGCAAGGACAAGGCGTTTACGTACGACTATGTGTTCGACATGGACACACAGCAGGACGCCATCTATGCCAACTGCACAGAGAAGCTGATCGAGGGCTGTTTCGAGGGCTACAACGCTACCATCTTCGCCTACGGACAGGTAGCGCTGCGCGCAACCTTCAGTGCCTTCTGGAAGTTTCTGCCACGCGTGATCCCAGACTGTTTGTGAGGGGGGGGGGGTCGGCCTCTTTTCTGCTGGGGCCCTTGGCTGTTGGGTCTCTTGCTTTGATACACTCTCTGCCAACACTGCAGGTCTCTCCTTTGCACGGCTCTCCATCCCAGTGCTTTTACAGTTTCGAATATGAAAAGGCATCATGTTTCCCGGCTGGTCGCCATGGTGACTGAGCCTGACCCCCAGCTGTGCTCTCTGTGCTGTTATTTTCCTGGCAGAGCAATGAATGGACAGGCTTTCAGGAGCGTTTTACATACATTACCACTGAGCCGGCAGCCTGTTAGCATAACCCGTTCCCTGTCTTCCAGTCGCCTTGAAGTCTGGTTTTGCTCACGCTCCGTCTGAGCGCATAAAGCACCATTTTCAGTGTCTCTCTTGCAACTTACCGCACATTTAACAGACTGGTCTGCTCTGGCCGAGCTCTGCACAGGATACTCTGTGCTTGCGTGTGATACTTTGAGGGGTGAATTTGAGGGGGGGGGGGGATCCCTGCAGCGGCAGAGGCCGACTGTATTCATGTTTGCCCCTCCTCCTAGACGGGCTCGGGGAAGACCTACACTATGGGCACGGGGTTCGACGTGAGCATCGCCGACGAGGAGCTGGGCATCATCCCGCGTGCTGTGGTGCACCTCTTCAAGGGCATCGAGGAGCGGCGCCAGGCTGCCATCGAGCAGGGCCGCCCCGTTCCTGAGTTCAAGATCAGCGCCCAGTTTCTGGAGGTATGGAGGGGCGTCCTGGGGAGCAAGAATCCAAACTATTCTTGGTGGGACTGAGTGAAGAGTTGCACTGTATTATTGGTGCCCTGCGCCCCCACCAGCGTGACCTCTGACAAGTGTGACAGCAGCTGTCAGCAGGGCGGGATCATCCTCAGCTGACAGTTGTTGCATATTGAAATAACCCAGGATTTATAGTTAGCTGGAGACGGGAAGGGAGCAAGAGTCCGCCATCGCCGTGGGCAAATGATCACAAAGCCCTCGCTGTTCACTGTTCTGCTTTCCCTTCCCGAAACGTCAGAATCTTAATGACACACCTCATTAAAATCCGGCTGGTCAGTGTGGTCAAGGTTCAGCTGAGTTACAGCTGTGAGTCTTTGTGTTTCTCTACAGCTATACAATGAGGAGGTGCTGGACCTCTTTGACTCCACACGTGACCTTGAGGCCAGGAAGCAGAAATCCAACATTAAGATTCACGAGGACGCCAATGGAGGAATATACACAGTTGGGGTGACCACTCGAATGGTCACCTCGGAGACCGAGGTCAGTCTGAACTCACACCTACGATGTGTCTGAAGCTGGTTCCTTTTATGTCTATGTGTCTGAAGCTGGTTCCCTCTCTGCCTGTGTGGCTGAAGCTGGTTCCTTTTATGTCTATGTGTCCGAAGCTGGTTCCCTCTCTGTCTATGTGGCTGAAGCTGGTTCCCTCTCTGTCTCTGTGGCTGAATCTCTCTCTTCTCCTCAGATGATTCAGTGCCTGAAGCTTGGTGCCCTCTCCCGCACCACGGCCAGCACCCAGATGAATGTCCAGAGTTCCCGCTCTCATGCCATCTTCACCATCCACCTGTGCCAAGTGCGCGTCTGCACACCGGACAATGTACGTGTCGCCGTCCATTTACTGCAAAGGCTTTTTAAGGCCATGTTCAATTAATGTAAATTAAGACATGTACAGAGCACCATTAGGCAAGAAGGTGGTATCAAACCACTGTCCTGTGCAGTGAAATGGGATTAGCTGTGTAGTGCAGTCAGCATCATGTAGAATCTCCTGAATCATTGGTGCTCCAGCAGGAGATGGACAACAGGATGGCCAACGGTTCCTCTGAGATGAACGAGTTTGAGACACTGACAGCCAAGTTTCACTTTGTGGACCTGGCTGGTTCCGAGAGACTGAAGAGAACCGGAGCAACAGGAGACCGTGCCAGGGAGGGCATCTCCATCAACTGCGGGCTGGTGAGTCAGGCTTCGCTCTGGGACGGCGCTGGGACGGCGCTGTGACGTTTCGTCACGGTTAATGCAGCAAAGTGGCCGAGCTGCGTTTGTTAAAAGCATTTTACTAAAGCATTTATGACCCCCCCTCGCCATGCCTAAAAGAATCTCAGCAGCAATGATGGCATGTCATCCCCTATAAAGGCCATCATTCGTCATACCAATAAAATACCCACCTGCTACAGGCACCCGGCTCCACAGTGCCACCTAGTGGTCATTTACAGAAGTGCCTGGGTTTCTCAAGCTTTTTTTTGAAAATCTTTTCCGATGTATTACATTTAGGAAATAGAGATTATAAATAATAAAACATGATTACCTTTGTACAGATAACAAATGAGCACATTTGGAGGTGACACTGTTCTCTGTATGTTCCTGTCCTCTAGCTAGCTCTGGGCAATGTCATCAGCGCTCTTGGGGACAAAAGCAAGCGATCGACACACGTGCCTTACCGCGACTCCAAGCTGACCCGCCTCCTTCAGGACTCCCTGGGAGGGAACAGGTGCCTGACAAAACTGCCCGACTGGATTATGCTGGTTTTCAATGGGTTTTTACCCTGTATGTGTTAAAAAAAATAAATAAACGTTCTTTCTGTAATGCTGGCGAACAGCCAAACGGTGATGATCGCATGCATCAGCCCCTCGGACCGCGACTTCATGGAGACCCTGAACACACTGAAATATGCCAACCGGGCCCGCAACATCAAGAACCGCGTCATGGTGAACCAGGACAAGGCCAGCCAGCAGATCAGTGCCCTGCGGACCGAGATCGCCCGCCTGCAGATGGAGCTCATGGAGTACAAGACGGTGGGGGCCGGGCCTTGGGGAGGGAGGGGCCAGGCACACAGACTAAGGGGGGGTGGAGCCTGGTTGATTGGGACAATAGAGAAGGAGGGGCAGATTAGAGATAAGCCCCTCCCTCCGTTATTATATATTCAGGAGTGGAGTGTAAGGAGAATCGGCATGTCGGGGGGCAGAGGCGGTATCCTGCGTTCTGTAAATATAATGACCTTGCCATAACGGAGACTGGAGGCAGGCTTGCATTCCCTTTCTGCATAGGGCAAGCGCATCGTGGGCGAGGATGGCATCGAGAGCATCAATGACATGTTCCACGAGAACTCCATGCTGCAGACCGAGAACAATAATCTGCGTGTGCGCGTCAAGGCCATGCAGGAGACCATCGATGCACAGAGGGCCCGTCTGACGCAGCTGCTCAGCGACCAGGCCAATCAGGCACTGGCCAGGGCAGGTCTGTGCCGTGGGCTCCCCCTGCTGGCTGCATGCTGAAATGATGTCACTGCAATTTACCTACTGAACTGTGATTCACTTTACAGGGGAAGGGAATGAGGAGATTGGGAACATGATACAGAACTACATCAAGGAAATCGAAGACCTCAGGTATGCGGTCAACTCGTGTCGCTCTGTTAGATCCAGTGTGCGGTGCGGGGCGTGGCTTCAGAGATCTGCTGCTTTAACGCTCTGCAGGGCCAAGTTGCTGGAGAGCGAGGCGGTGAACGAGAACCTGAGGAAGAACCTGTCTCGCGCCTCCACGCGGTCCTCATTCTATGGCGGCCCAGGCTCCTTCTCCCCCGCCCTCCTGGCCCCTGAGAAGGAGACATCTGACATCATCGAAATCGCCAAGAAGGACCTGGAGAAACTGAAGAGGAAGGAGCGCCGGAAGAAGAAGAAGTAGGTTTGGTCCTGGCATCTGCACTGGCTGCTGCCTATGAGCTTTGATGTGGGCCAGAGGGGGTCTGAGCAAGTGAGTGAGGCAGGTGCATTCTGGGTAATTACCCCTGGCTCATCTAAAGCCCCAGCATGCTGTGAATTACCTAATGTGCTTTTGGACGCAGTTCAAGAATATATGCTTACAGTAATGTGGGTATGTTAAAGTGTATAATTAGTAGATTTGACGCCCATCAAATGCGCCTGTTCATTGGTGTGCGTAGGCGTGTGTTTGTATGGCTGTTCTGGGCGGCTTTACAGTAGGAATGTGCGTGTGAGCTTTAGTGTGATGTGCACTCCTGCCTCCTCTGCCCCCCTCCCCTCCCCTCCAAATGCCCTGGGCAATTTCCCACCCTATGGAGCGGTCTTTGGCCAAACAGACCTGGACTAAGTCTCAGCACGCAAGCAGAGCAGATTTAGGAGCGTCTAGTGACAGAAAGTGGTTTGACAGGACGTGGCACTGCTGTTTGGCAGTGAGAGAACCGGGGTGCAGGTGTGCAGTATCTGCTCAGCATGCAGCATTAACACGGGCGATTATGCTTTCATGGACAGGGCAGAGCACGTTCTATGCAGATCAGCTTCACACTTGAGCCTTTGTGAGTTTTCACTCGATGCAGAGACCGGGGTACCCTGTGTATGTAAACAGGAACGTGGCCATGCTCTGACTCAGTGACAGCCTACCAAGGACACCACCCTGCTAAGGAATTGTGGATTTGAAAATCTGAGACATTACCTCATATTTTGGAGATGCTTGAACTGTCTAATGTCTCTGTAAACTGTGTAAAATAGCATGAAACTAGGGCATTAGTCAGTTTCCAGACTCCAGTTCTGAGATCTGTCGGCAAAACAGCCGATTACTCTGCATAATACAGGTATCTCACAGTGATACACAGGGATGCACTGATACTCTGGGTAGTACAGCTGTCTAATTGTGATACACAGGAATGCACTGATACTCTGGATAGTACTGGTGTCTGATGGTGATACGCAGGGACACAGT